GGCCAACGCTCTACCGTAATTAGACGTATGAAAGATATTACGAAAATTCTGGGTGCTATCGTCTCGGCTTTCCTTCCAGGGTATGAAGCGGGTAGGCACACAGCCTGGTTGGGGACACTGTGGGCTATGGCCGTTGATCGATGTTAATGGCCTTCTTGTTGTCAGTTTCTATCCAGATTGCCTGAATGAGTGTCTAGAGTTATGTGCACCTCGGAACGATTGTGTTAAGCAAGCACTAAGTCCCTTCCCTGTCCACCTTTACTTTTCTCTCTACAATAAGGCTTTCAAAAATATCATGGTTGTACGGCAGTGAAGCATCGGTGTTGAACACTGATGTCATGCTGTCGATGATGATGATCCTGCTAATCCATCATTTTTGGTTCAATGCATATTTATTTCATAATCAAAAAGTTTAACCGAGGCGAATAGAGTCGTAAATTTTCCCACAGGCATTGTGTTAACTACACTTCCCCCAGTGTCTCTGCGGAAAAATCTGAACCGAAAATGCGTCATTGCTGGGAACTGATTATGTCACCGATAATCGTTACCACAGTTAGAGACGTAAAATACATCGGAACAAGTCTTGTGGGTACAGCGCACTACGACTACATCGGAGAAAACAATGGAGTGGTCACGACCTAAGAAAGCTGTTGCTCGCAAGTTGGTTTACTTGTCCCAAAAAAGCTGGATAGGTGCGCGTTGGAATCGCAGTTAGAAAAATTCATGAAACTAACCGCAGATTCCTCGCAGGAGGATTTGATAATAAAGGTTCTGGATAAGTCGTGAGCATCATCACTCACGTTACGCCTGGTAGTGGTCTACACGTGAAAGAACTTCTCACCTAGTTGAAAGGATGAACAGGAGTACGAACGGTAGAGAGCTCAAGGATCATGATCTAAACGCCTTCTCTCCTCTTTACATTAATGATTTGACGCACAAGCGTCTTTCACCGGTAATTTCCATTCCGATTGCGGTCCCCAAAAATGCCTGTCCGGCGACAAATGACAGAATAGACGGATGAAAACACACTGATTTATTATGAATGGTGGAAAAATAACGAACAGAATGAGCGATATAAGTCTAGAACACAATCTCATATAACTTCGCACGACAAGCTACAAACAGTCGGTCGGTAGACAAACGGAAAACAATTCGACATCAAGAAAGATGACATTATGAAGACTGATCTATGCTGTCAACGTCTGGTTGAGTTTTGCTACCGCTCATGAAGCCAGGCGTGCGAAGCGATTGCCACTCGGTTGACGGGCGTGACCCAACAGCTTGTGGAGGTGGCAAAGATTGAATCGGGCCAGGTAGATTGCGTGAAATATTCGGTTTCAGACTGCTACCGGTGAGCTGCTTCATAGAACCGATCGGGATGTGACTGGGCTGGAAAAGGAGCAGACACGTATTAACGTTTACCACAACCCAGTATGTCGAATCGGTAAACCAAGTAAACAGCTTGCTCGTTGAAACTGTCCTCGAGATTGAATCAAAAGCCTGTGCTCAAAGCATATGTATGAGTCTTACTCAGCTCCAAAGAAAGTATTCCATCACTTCATTACTGGCGGATGATCACCGAGCTGAGTGTCCCCCGAAGTCATTGGAAAATCGGCATTGTATCCACAATAGACCACCTGGCGCGTTACGTGATTCTTTTTATCCAGCCACTGATAGAATTCATTCACGTGGTCAGTGGTACACACACTGCAACAAATCCATTAAAAACTGATAACCAAAACTGATGACCAAAAAGTGTCGTACTCAGGTTGCGGATCCTCAGTGGTCAGCGTTGTCCATGCCTTTTTTACCACTCGTACGTAAATGAATTTTGCAACCAGTGGAATGAGTAAATTTATTTTAGAACTTAAAACACTCTACTTTATATGATAAACTGAAAATCGGGGCTCGGAATAGCTTCAAAATTCAGGTGTGTCACGTCCGGTTAGCCATTCCTTCGTACAGGATTGGGTAGTTGCGCATAACTGTTTTAGCGGGTCCCAGTCCTTGAGGAATTACCAGTGAAAGGTCTCCAGTCCGGCAGCCTCCGCAACATCCTCAAAGTCCTCCAGGAATGTTCGGACATCCCACCCTCAAAGGGTTGCGGCCACGGAATCTTCAATCTTATCCTGGTCACGGCACCAGATGGAAGGAAGAAGGCTTTCGCTGCGGAGTTATTTATTAGAAAATGCCAACTGATCAGCTGCAGACTATTGGACAGGGAAGCAAAACTCTCACTTGCACCTTATTTACAAAAACTGGACATCCATGTTCTCCTGAACGCGTCTTCTTGAGCTTTCCTGGAGATTCATTGACTCCAATCATTCATTGCTCAAATCCAAGCAAACGCTACGAAGCGACCCCGAAAATTCCGCAACAGACCTCCATTTTCAAGAGACGCAAAGCGAATTTACAAGAACAAAACATAATACTCGCATGCCTCCCCACCGGTAGTATCACTGTTACACCAGCATTAAAGCATATATAGAGTTCGAAGGGAACAAGAAAAATCAAAAAGTAATTGCCGTTCAGCAGTGGAACCTTTCGGTGCATAACGTCCGCGCAACTCAAGAGGGAGAGAGAGATATGGGCTACTGGCAATTTGCCCGAACTGGAGTGAACAGTCAATAATCCTCGAACATCGCATTGTAGCAACGCATGTACGACACACTTCTAAGGCTAACGCACTGTAAAGTTACAGATAGATGAAGTCACTTGTGAGGATATGGATAAAGGACACAGAAAATCCATATGCGGCCAACTGACATATTAACAGGAAAGACTGGTTAGCCGTCTAAAGCTCAAACATCATCGCATTGTTCCGTGTTACGTTCGACTTATTGCTGGTACATCGATGGACTTTGAACTACTGAGTGACGCCGCGAATTTCGACTGAGGTGTTCGCGACAACAAAATGAAACCGAGTCAATTGAAGACGGGCAGTGAGTCATACCTTACCACGCGCATGATCGATACAAGCAAGGAGTCGAAAGACAAAGCTACGATATTAAAAAGCAGATTACCAAAGCCGAAAAGAGGATGGGGACACTAGAAAGAAATAGATAAACAGGTTCACGAAGAATCCGAGCAACAGAGCGGAAGGAGGTATGATGAACGGACGAAAAATATCAACAAGATGCTTGATTACTACTGATTCGAAATTGTCAAAGTTCGTTCCTTGTTACAGCTAACAATCTCAGAACGAATGACTGGCTTTGTTGAGAGTTTTTGGAATCCAACGCTTTCAAACTGGATAAATTGTGGTTCATCCAAATACGAATACCACTGAAGGAAAGAAGGCCTTCGCTGCGGAGTTATTTACTGGAAAAAACCAACTGAATAGTTACAAACTATTGGACAGGAAAGCAAAACTCTCATGTGCATCTTGATCATAGAAACTGTGTATCCGTCTTCTTTTCGAACACGTCTTCCTGAACTTTCCTGGATACTCATTGACTATCACTCAAACGCCACAAAGCGATTCCACAAAATTCCGTAATAAATCTCACTTTTCAATAGACGCGAAGCGGAGTTATGAGAAAACCACATACTACTCGCAGGCTTTATCAGTAGTGTCCACCGTTGCATCCGCATAAAAATCGATCGCATATTGCAGTTGTGGCTTCAGGCTGCCTCAGTTCCGCCAATTCTCTAATTCAGTCTTGTTTCGTTTCACCACGATTCTCATTGAAGGTCTACATGACTTGGTAGTGAGTATAGAGTACCTTTCATGGATAATAGTGTTCTGACTGAACTTCAGAAGCGTGTGCGCAACAAAACGCAGTCATATTACTGATGGATGATGTTTCCTCTTAATTCGCCAGGAAGTTTTGTTGGCCCTGACTGTACTTGAAGCTAAAATGACGTGCCAGGCCAACATCGACTGTATAAAGCTGTAAATGTATACTGAGCTTACCGTTGTTAACCCAGTAACCAATTTGCTCGCCGGTGGATTCATCAGGTGGAATGAAGGAGTCAATGTGTGACTAGGAATACGGCTGGGTTTTGGAATTTTTGTTTCTGTTCCATCACAGCCCGGGACATCCGTGCAGTCAGTTGGTAGATTTTCGTCGGCGAAGCTGCTGGCGACAAAGAATTGCACAGAAGAGGGACACACACATCTGTAAGGACGCGGTATAAGGCAATCAAAACGACCTAGCCGTTAGTACACATGATTGAACTGATGAAAGGCACACCAGTTTGAGACAGATAAATCTACTAGGCATGAATGGGTGATGTATGGTTTGATGAAATCCATATTGCCACAGACACTCCAAAGCGACAATGGCATGACATGCGACAGTGTTGTTCGGATTGATGTACCAAGTGGATAGGGAGATCGCTTTGAAACATAACTACTCCAGTTTGTGTCCCCAGACAACCCAGAATTGTCAATGTCCCCACATGCATTTGCATGAGAAAGTAGACTTCAAACAAACTGAAGTAAATTCAGGATGTCCACCCATACGCTAGGAAGATAGGACAGGATAAACCAAATAACTGGGCTACGTGCTTCACTACAGCGTTCAAAGTTGAAGTGTGCGGAATCCAGACTGAGAGTACGAAAGCAAGGACTATCTACCCACATTCAAGCCTACCAAGGTAGATATCAGTTATTAGTAAACCTTATTTGGAAAACAAAGATAATGATACCCGAAAAGCTTGGAGAGGTTAACTGGCGTAAACGGATTTCCTACTTACCAATCAAACTGGTGCTTTGCTACAAGTTCCATCAGGAAACCGCCTAATAGTTGCATTCACATAAAGCGTATATGAGATTTTGCGACTCGCCAAAGATGACCCTGTAGATTAGATTCTGTATTGTAATTACGATCTTTATTAGGAAAGACGAGGGAGAGTGCATTCAAAGAGCAGGTGGATGATTTAAGCACGCACAAGAACCTCGTCATTGATAACAGTACACTGATAGGGCAAAGTAAATCAGTTGTATAGCGTGTGTGCACAAAAGCCTCTTTTTGGGAACAACCATAGGTCAGTGTGATTTGTGTAGACGATAATAACCATGTTCTCCGAGCCGCGGGGGACTTCGCGCAGGATGAAGTTATATGAAGAACAACACGGACTGCTGAGTTTGTCACTACAAATTCGATGAAAATGTCATTAATTGGTTTCAGTGGGAACCACCACTCGAATAAGGTTGGAAAACCCTTTGGGTGCCTAGCTGCCATACCGCCCAAAGGGAGCACGACGGCTGGGATACTGTCAAGTTGCCCACGCCTAGACAGGGGAAGTCGAGAGGCAGAGGTCGGGTTCGAACCACGAACCTTCAGGATCAGTAGATTCGCGCTCTAACCACTTGTACCATTTCGCCCCCAAATAAGGCAAAGAGAGGCAGATTTGTCGATCAGCTGAGTCCGGCAAAGTTAATCCCACCGATTGACAATCATAAATTAACACTGGGGAAGACATTATTGAGACCAATCTATTTGGCAATCTGTCAGCGATCACCACCAATTTGGGTGCACGAAGACTTCATTGTTTGTGTATCGTGCAATATGTGGTAGTAAAGTAATACCGGTCAAACCAAACCTACACGCCTATAGACACGAAAGCTCCTGGTTGGGGTTCCCGGTCCGTCTTTGACTTTGTTTTTATTTTTATGTCATATTGCGAATCGTACTGCAGTAAATCCTATTTTAGCGAACTGCAAGTATTTGTCCTGATAGGGTGCAATAGGCTTCGCTATTGCGAATTTCGGCGCATAGTTGCTACTGGGTATACAGGCACGCTAAAACCCAATCCTTATGTGGGAGAAAAGGCTGTGTGAAGAGAGCATCAGCGTCTGATATCAATTAACGGACAGCTTGGGTTTCATGAAAACCATACCCTTCGCGCCGACCGCTTCGCGCGATCTTGTCGGTGGTTGTCACGGAGAATATACACGATCAAGTGTTCCTGCCCCTGAAGTATGACAGTCGGTCGATCAGAGTTACTTTCTTGGTTCGGTGAGTAACAAAGTGAGACAAAGTTCCATAGTTTTTAAGAGAGAGTCAGTTCGCCAGTTTTTTTGTCAACCAGGAATGGACAAGATATTATGTGAAGCAAGAAGAGTTATACAAGCTTTAAACGAAAGAAAAAAACAGAAAGTAATGAAAGTTGCCTATGGGTAACGCGGAAAACAAAGCTTTGCAAAAAAGCAGAAACTGTTAGAGGATGAAACACGGGTGCCTGGCAGACTACGATACAAAAAGAACAAGTGGCGTAACCGATATTCCGAACTAACTGCTAGCTGCGGTGATGGTAGGTGAAATCCTTTATCTACTGGATACCACTGTGGTTGGGGGAACAGTGAAAACCGGTCAGGACTGGCCGTGTTAGGTCATCACAGTTTGAACATTTTTCAAGAAATTTAACCACAAAGAGTGGAGTTCACAGGATTATCCCTATCAGGTCAGACCCTAGTTCATCATAGGCATCACTTTTTGTTGATTTTAAAAAAAATTTGATTGAACCATAATCCAAATAACCTACTTCAAATCCTTTATTTCTTCAAATTCGGGTGAGTCCTGAATGGTCGGACTAGGTGTGGATGACGTCTCTTCGGGAAGACAGTTCAAAATTGATGTTTCAAACACCGCGGCTGATTAAGTGGGGTGCAGAAAAAGTCAGAAATTCTATCAAGATCTAGCAAATAAACCTCACACAGCTGCAAACGGAGGACAATCGAGATAAACCTATCAAAAACGAGATAGAAGGGATCAGTAACAGATTGCTGCTTTGCATAGTGACGACTGTCCCATGAGTAAGAAAAGGATGGGGTAGATAAAGCTCTCTGTGGAGTGCGTGATTGGAGAAGACAAATTATTTTCGGCACTGGCTGAATCATCACTGTGTAGTCGTCTACTGAAAAACAAGGGACGGTTTCGTGGTTGAAAACTAACAATGAAAACAAAATGACGGCTGGTTGGGGTTAAACAGGAAGTCATGCAAAGGGTAGCAAAGCTGACAAGTACTCTTGTCAAGTCTTTACGGGGTAGCTCGTTCTCTTATGTCCTTCAGCTGACCCGCATGACCCCAAGCAGCTAGGTTCAGCTGGTCAAGACCCCGCGAGTTAAAACGTGTGGAGGTAGCCAAGGGTCTCACCTTCCAGTAGACGTCAACGGTAAGCGTGTGAAGTCAGAATGAAGTCCATTCCGATATCCAACAACAAGAACAACTATGCTATTCAACAGCTTTCTCACTGAACACAAAGCCAAGCATACTACTTCTCATAGAGAATTTCCAAGAAAGTAACATTGAGGATCCTGCTTATATGGAAGGGCGCGATAAAGTATCAAGCATAAAGTTTCGGAAGTTCAGCTGTAACACCCTTCCGGTGCCTGGTTCCTATGCCATCCGAAGGAAGCAGCACGAGGGCTGGGATACGGTCAGGTTGCCTATGTCTAGGCAGAGGCAGAGGTCGGGTTCGAACCACGGACCTTCCGGTCAGTAGATTCGCGCTCTAACCACTTGAGCCACCCGCCCAAGTTTTGGAATGGAAGCAGTCATTAAGAAGTCGCTAACGAGAGGTGGGGAGGTTGAACGCGGGTCATAAAAATGGCAATCCACGATCTTGTGATCCCGGTAGAAAATGAAACAATACTGACACATTGACTTTCATTATTGGTGTTGTACTTTAGCTGAGCTTCAGTTCCTAATTAGTCACTGAAACAATAACAGCCTTCTGTCTCTTCCCTACGGTACTTGTCTTGGTTTGTTTTTCCACGAAATACCATTAGCTCGGGTCAAACAAGCCATTTGTTGAGTTGCAATTGTGACAGCGTTTTATTCGAACTTGCATACCTCCGACTCTAGTTTCCGGATCGCTCTGCAGCACTTGCAGAATATCTTCGGTTGCAACTCCAGCACACGAGTAAGCAGAGTGGAGCAAAGCTCGGTCTAATGCCTCCTTCATTGGCTTGCATCTGAGGTATTTCTAGACCTGGCATCCTAACTTTCTGCTTCTCAAGCAGACGTGCCTATTTGGGCAATTCTGTACGAAATAACAGGAACACTGGACGCGATTTTCACTCCTATTGAAACTTATTCGGCTAAGCGAACAAACCAACGATCACCAACACACTCGGAAAATTTGAATAGTGATTTCCACTTCTGAAGCTCGTTTTTGTTCCCTTTTTTCCCTTGCTAGAACTGCTGAGAAGCGATAATGAATGGAAAACACCTGATGATTGGTGGACTTCTTTCTTGCCCAGCAGCAGGGTTGTGCTGTTTGAATGCCTCGAGCCAGCTCGTTCTCTCGCAAGGTGGCATGGCACATTGCCACGGGTCAGGCTGGTGTGCCTACTCGGTGAAGTTATACGCTAACGGAGCGAGGTGCCTCAGTGGTTAGAGCGCGAATTTACTGACCGTGGAAGGTCCGTGGTTCGAATCCGACCTCTGCCTCTGGATTTCTCCTGTCTAGACTTGGGCAACCTAGCAGTATCCCAGCAAGGCAGTTAGACAGCGAATGGATGCTACAGCTGAACGGCTTTTTATACGCTAGCCCGACTACCACTGATTGGTACCTTACTGTTTGTCCCAGCTTATCCAGAGTTCACTAGTACTGTGGGTAAATTTGAGAACTTTTCAGTGGAGACTTCGCCCCGCGAGTGAAGTCAGACATACCGGAATGTCTAGAAACATTGTGCAGCTGTTCCATCTTTATTGTGAATCTGACGAATCCCCAAGGCGATATCTCAGTGAAAGCGACTGGCGGAAAATTTACCCAAGGTTCTTTGTCATGCTGGAAAGGGTGGCGCTTTTCTAAGTAAACAAAAAAACCTTGGCTTTCAATCAAAGTGAAGGCAGCATCCGAATGAAACTAACGCTTTGTACAACCTATCCTATGAATTTACGGTACAGGAAACCGAAAATTCAGTTAAACATACACTTGGAGCAATCGGGACTCTCACTGAACTGCATGGATTCATCCTGGAGGCGGCTTTGACCGACTGGATCTGTTTCCACGGCTATGGACACATCCGCTCGATAAGAACTCTCGACTTGCCAATGACAATCGTTCAGAGTGGTTAGTATGTCCATAGCTTCACGCATGTAATTCCACCGCTGCGTGAGTTCGGATAGAAAGCTATCAAGTTTGCGCAGAGATCCACTGAAAAATCGGATTGAAAAAGATGTATTATCTTCAAGTTATTGAAAAGGGGCAACTGCAGGTTAAACAATTACCAGTCTAGCATGGGATAGCCTTATCAATACAAAACTCAACGATGGACGGTTAGCTAACACGGCGGATTACTTTCTGACAACGCGTCCAGGTGACCGGATGATAGTAACGAATCCCTACTAGATTACAAAAAGATTTACAGATGCTTTCTAGCTCATCGTCTGTTATGACCGAGGGGTAAGTCGATCAGGTGTCGCTCAGATGTGTCACCTTTATTTTAGGATTATGATTCGGTATTCAACTGATCCACGCAAGGTATCATCATCATCGACAGCATGACATCAGCGCTCAACACTGATGCTTCACTGCCGTACAACCATGATTTACTTGACTGAAAGCCTTTTTGTAAAGAAAAAAGGAAAGGTGGACGGGGAAGGGACTTAGTGCTGGCTTACCACAATCATTCCGAAGTGCCTATATCTCCAGACACTTACTCAGGCAATCTGGATAGAAACTGACAACAAGAACGCCACTGACATCGGTTGGCAGCCATATCTTGT